TTTTTAGAAGAGGAGTAGGAATTTGGAGATTTGGGGGGATACTTTTATTTCTACTTAATAAGCAGCATATTTGACCTGCTAAGTATAGCTCTTGGGTTTCTCTAAGTACAATAAAAACGTGCAGGGAGCTCTAGCTTGCTTTCAAGTGCAAACTTACTGAGGAAAATTGCTTTTTATTCCTTTTCCATACATCTGGTGGTTACATTTTATCTAAAACCTGGACACCCGGGTTCCGTACAGGCTGACTCCACACCCTCCCTGTGGGTTGACCCAGAAAATGAAAAACCCAGAAAAGTGCCATGTCTTCACCATCCTGCTACCCCCTCCATCCCAGCCTTGCGGGTAGGGAGTAACACTAGAGCCTCGAGTGGTTTATGCAGACTGGAGGCTCAGGCCTCAACTGAGGCCTGACTAATGTACATCCCTGCGTTAAAGGCACTTCTGTCCCCATGAGGACTCGGCCTCTGTTTCACGCGGAGTAGGAACAGACAGTGCGAATTGAGAGCTGCAGCAGAAAGGAAAGCTCAGCCCGGTCCCCCCAAATGTGCTAAACATACATGAGAAGCACAGCAGTCCACAGCTGGCTAGGTGTGCCTGTCTCCCCTCCAGCCCAGTGCAAGGCTGGTCTCCGATTCCTGTTACATACTGTCATTTAGCTGTGTGTGTGGACAGCGTTAAAATAGAATACTAGCATTCCCTAGAGGCAATCACGTGAGAAGTAGGTAACATGTGGCCCAAAGGCTGAGTCTAGAGTAGACCCTCTGAGTGTTCCCTCCAGCCCCACGGAAGTGAAATCATGTGTATGAGCAGGAGCCCAGAGGCTGTCACATAACCTTTCTGCTCCGTGAAACCCGGAAAGGTGGCTGGATCCGCTGAGTCTGTCTGACTGACTCTCTTCTTCCCAGAAAGGGCTGTCCCCTGGGAAGGGCTTTCTGTCCTCGGAGCCCTGGCTCTGAGGGCCTCTAGTGTGGGTAACACTCTCAATTGTGTGTTGTAGGTGTTCTGGGTCCTACATCTCCTTGGGTCCTGGGCATCTGGCAGGTGCTGAAGACGTTGAAAGAAGCAGGGCATCTTCGGAGTGGGAGGGACCTTAAACGGTGCAGCCAGTCCACCCCCATCCAGGCTCTGAATTCCTCCAGCAATAATCTTAGCGAGTGGGCACAAAGAACATCCAGATGTGGGAACTGCACTCTCTGCCTCAGCCCCTGCTCTGAGGCTTACTCCTTGCGTCCCTGTTGAACTCGTTGTGACTGGTTGCTTTATCTTTCCAATGATCGCTCTTCCATAAGAATGAGAATCAGTTCTGATTGATCTTTCCTCAGTGCTAGGCAGGTGGGCAAGTGTTTGAGTTTATAAGTCATTTCAATGAGACTCTTCATTGGGACATGGAGGAGCACCAGGCAGAGCTGAAAATCAGACAATTCAGATGGGAAAGACACGGCCACGTCCCTTTGCGTCTGAGGCAGGTGGTGGTGTCTGCCCTGGCAGCCATGACTTGTTCCCACCCTCCTCTTTCGTGGTCCTTGCTCTTGGTGCCACAGTGGACCTGCCATACCTGGTCTGTCACTTGGTCTCTGGGTTGCTCCTTCCAGCCGAGCTTATTAGAATGCCTACGATAAGTTCAAGTAGCACCAAGTGTGGATTTTTAAGAGCATAGAGATGAGCCACGTGTTTGAACTTGGAAGAATGGGTATGTGGCCTCCATTGTGGCTGTTCCAAAGCTTTGGAGGGTTTTGACTATTTTACATACTTAAGGGCATCAAATTAAATGCTTTCTGGATAAATGAGGGATTGATATAGATATCTTTTGAAGTAACATACTTTTATCATTTCCAGGTGTATGCAGCAATGCTAAGAAGGTATTTCTGATGAGTCTTGCTGGCTGTATTTTGATGATTAGTTAGGACATGTTCTCCCTTAGTATCATGCATTTCCATAAAGTTAATGTTCTCATGTTCTCTCTTTTCTAAAGTAGCTTAACTACTCAATATGCTTATTAATTTTACATAGTAAGTCTTCCAAACACATGTAAACATAAACTTAGACTCACCTGTAATCAAATTGATAGAAACCTGAAATCATGAATGAGTTTGGGGTCTCTCTCTCTCTCTCTCTCTCTCTCTCTCTCTCTCCCCTGCCCCCTCTTAATTACAGTGCCCAAAATACTCCAAACAGAGCCTTTAAGCAAAAGAGAAGACATGAATAGGCATGTTGAGACCAATAGAAAAGGATTTGCTAGAAAACAGTGGTTTCTTAATTAGAGAGCCTGGTATTGGAGAGCGACTCAGGGGTCCTGGGTGCTGGGACCATGTCAGCCAAGGCCCCAGGACCACAGAGATGCTCAAAAGAAACCTTGATGAGATGGGCATGAGGGCCCCTGCTGAGACGGCTAATGGGGAGCGGGGTTGGGCAGCAGCCAGGTTCTTTCCCAGGAAGGCACTGGGTAGATTTAAACCACATAATGACAGTCCGCCTACTAAGGAAGTCGCCAAGCCTGGACTTGCTGGGTGTTTTATTTACTTGGAGAAATTTCTTGAGCTCTAAGTGTACCAAGATAGTGCAGTTTATTATGCCATTGCCTTCCCTCCTACCCCCAACCTTGTAGTTGGTGAGAAAAACACTCTGGAATTTAGTTTATTCCTTCTCAGGGGACAGAGGACCAAATGCAGGACTCAAGTTATGAAGGTAAAATGCCCCGAAGTGCTGAGGGCTCTCCGAAGAACTCCATCCCAGGTGGTAAGGACAGAGCCATGAGGATGTCCTTGGTGTAATTGTGCAGTCACTGGGAAGTGAAGTACTGGAGCCTGGAGTGTGGCAACTCTTTTGAGAAGTTTTCCTATAAAGGGGAGCTGAGAACCCCAGGACTGGCAGGAGAGAGGTGTGAAGTCAGAAAAAGACGATGGTTGACTAGGGAAGCGTGACAGAGGAGAGCAGGGCAGGGCAGCAGAGGTGTTTGCATGATTTTGGAGACATGACTTGGGGTGGGTGGTGCTTTTACTCTGCTCCCTGTGGGAGTGCATGATGCCCCAAGTTCTCTGTAAAGTCCCACGTGTCCCTAAGATTTTGACATGAGAATATACATCCGGGAGGCCCTGGGTCTTTCTTGGGCTGCAAGTGGAGAACCTGGAGCCAGTTCTCCACCACCATGGTGATGGAGGTGAGGGTCATGCATTGGTTGGTCATTAATTGACTAATTCTTTCATTAAGGAAACATCGCTGAGCCCAGTATGTGCCAAGTGTCATTCCAGGCCCTGCAAACAGTGCAAATAAGCCTCTCTCCTCAGGCTGTGTTCCTGCCTGTGAGGGATGGGCAACTGACAAACAACTTGCTAGGGATGGGGCAAGCTTGCCCTTCCTTCCTTCCTTCCTTCCTTCCTTCCTTCAGACACATCTATTGGTTGCCTCCCACATGGGCCCCAACTGGGGCGAGGATCAAACTTGCAACCCAGGTACGTGCCCTTGACCAGGAATTGAACCCGTGACCCTTTGGTGCATGGGCCAACTCTCTAACCACTGAGAAACATTAGCCAGGGAAGGCTTGCTGTTTCTTAGATGCATGATTTGAACCCATTTCTAGGAGGTAGTTGGTGTGTGAGTGTCCTGAGGAGGTGGTTCTTGGAAGGAAGCTGGTCCAGGAAACAAGACTGTGGATGAAGGATGAAGCAGTGTTTGTGGGGGCGGGGCGGGGGGGGTAGTGGCAGGAAGAGGGTTGACCTGGAAACATCTGCCACCGCCACAGCCCAGGGCTGGCTGGGCTGCAGGGGGAAGTTTAGGAATTTCTCTGGCTGAATTACTGTGACCTGTGTGGAGGAGGGACTCTGTGTGTGGCTCCTCACAAATGCTGTGCCCTGGGCCCAGCCAGTGTGGGTTTTAAGGCCCCAGATGGCCTCACTTGCTCAGTTTTAAGACTGGACTTGGTTCAGATGCCTGCTTACCTGACCTAGCTGTCGTGACCTCAGACAAGCCATTTAACCTGCTGTCCCTGTGTCCTCGCCAAAAAATGAGAATTGTGATCATTCCTATTCTACAATGCTCTAGTCTAGAAAATACCTCACTTGCGGTTTTGCTTTCTGTGATTTTAGTTACCCATGCTCAACTGCAGTCTGAAAATATTAAATGGAAAATTCCAGAAATAATTCATAACTTTTAAATTATTTGCCGGTCTGAGTAGTGTGATGAAATCTTGTGCTGTCTTGCTACATCCCACCTGGGATGTGAACCATCCCTTTGTCCAGTGGATCCACACTGTAGATACACTCCCTGCCTGGTAGTCATGTAGCAGCCGGCTCAGTTGTCAGAAGGACCATCACAGCATCGCAGTGTTTGTGTTCAAGTCACCCTGATAGTAGCCTAACACTACCTCATAACATGTGCTTCATTCACCTCGCTGCATCTCATCACGTAGGTCTTGTGTCATCTTACATCAGAAGAGTCAGTGCAGTGCAATAAGAGAGAGAGAGAGAAAGAGAGACACTATGTTCATATAACTTTATTATAGTATATTGTTATAGTTGTCCCTTTTATTATAGGTTGTTCATCTGTTACTGTGCCTAATTTATAAATTGAACTTTATCATAGGTGTGTATGTATAGGGGAAAACATAGTATGAAGGGTTTGGTACCCTTTGTGGTTTCAGGCATCCACTCGGGATCTTGGCACATATCCCCATGGATAAGGGGAACTACTGTAACTGACTCAGCCACCACTGCCTGGGGTATTGAGAGACCCTGGGTGTGAGCTCTGGGACCAAAGGCCCTGGGTTCAAATTTGGGTTCTATTTTATGGGTGTATTATTGGGCAGCTCCGTGCCTCAGTTTCCTGATCTGTGCAGTAGAGATAATTCTAATGCCTGCATTCTGAGGCCCCTGGGATGAAGCCTGTGTAGTTGTTGAGAAGAGCGCCTGGACCGAAGCATGTGCGGTGTCCGCTGCTGTTAGAGACGATGCCTTTGGGTTCAAGGGGCTGTGTGTGCCCCCCGTGATGGTGTCTTTTCTGCGCAGTTCCGCCTGGTGGTGAAGACGGCCCTGAAGCTGCTGCTGGTCTTTGTGGAGTACTCGGAGTCCAACGCACCCCTTCTGATCCAGGCAGTCTCTGCTGTGGACACTAAAAGAGGTGAGTGGTCCCTGCCCCCTGATTTCATCAAGGGAAATTGTCTGATGTAGGAAGACTCCCACTTCTTACACGTTCAAAACAGAATTAGGATAAACAGAATTCCCTTTGTGTGGACCTCCCACTGCAGGAACCATAGTGAATATATAAAGATTAGAGACAGAGTGAGGTTTGCAGGGAAAGAAAAGCACTCGCTCTGAGCTTGTCTTCTCACTCTGTCCCCTGCCACTGAGCACACACCAGGTCTTTCTCCTCCTTTCCCATCCTGTCCTGGCTCCTTCCTCCCCTCCTTTTACACAGGCTTCATCCACTCTGACCCCTAGATGTTCCCTCCCCTCCACTACATGTCCCTTTCCTCCTGGGGTCCCTCACCGTCTCTCACCTGGTGTCCTTTGCCGGCCCCAACTGCTACGCTGGCCTCTGCAGTTGGAGGATTCTTCTAAAGCACAAATTTGGTCTCACCATTTTCCATCTGATACCTGCCAGTGGCTTCCAGTGCCCACAGGATTAGATCCAAACCCTTCATCTGACCCTGTACCATCCAGCCCCTGTCTACCTGCCACGTGTCTGTCTCCTACCTGGCCTGCACCACACCCGCCTCCCTTGGCTCAGACAGACATGTGCTCTCAGCGCCCCCATGCGCCCCTCATCTCTGCTGTGCTGTTTTCATTGCCCGTCTCTCCTGAGTGTGTGCCCTGCCTGAGGACAGGGTGCCTGGCTCTTCTCTTGGTGTCCCAGCGCCGAGCGGGCCTGCCCTGCACACTTGACGAAGAGTCAGCTTTGGACCTGGCTCAGTGTGTAACATGCTGTGGACCCTATAATATTGTGAAGCCTGAAATCAAGATGTTGGAGGATTTTTTAAAATTTTGTTTTGTCCTTTTAAGAAACAAACTTTTAGTTTTGTTCCCCAGTAAGATAGGTGATGATGATGATCAAAAACTTGATAACATTTATTTTCTTTTTACGATTATAACAGCAATGCTCTCTGTAGAAAATTTGGGAAAAAAACACCCTAGTATAAAGCAGACAATAGCAGAATCACCTCTCATCTCACCAGACAGAAATTGTGTTAAAACAGGTGTACATTTCCTTATGGCACACGTGTGTCTGCACAGATTTGTGCACAAATCAGCTGAGATACAACTAGACACACCGTCCAGGGCTAAATTCAAAGGTGAAAGAAAGTAGATCACTGGTTCCTTTGAAAATTGGAATGTAAGTTAATGAAAACCATCCAGAACCATAAATTGGGCCTCCATACCTTTCCCACAAATGCGCAGGCAGATGTCAGCTCCCTGCACGGTGGATCTCAGGCCGGGGCAGCTCTGGGCCTCTGTGTAGATGTGTGTGACAGAGACGAACATTATGCACGGTCAGGGCTGTGAGTCTGGAAGGTGGGCTCCAGACCAGCACAGGTCTGTGTGTTTCTTTCTGCCACAGCATGTTGTCTTCTGGTACCAGATTTGAAATTCCTTAATGGCCAATAGTAGATCATGAGGCCAGCTGAGAATCCTCAATGAAGACTGCCAGTGACTCAGAAGCAGGGGACAAGGAGGGAGGTTTCCCAAGGCCAGTGAATGAGAGTTAGGGCCAGAGGTGGGTGTCTGGGAAGATAGTGAGGCAGATCCTTTCATTCATGCTTAGAGGAGTCATGCTCGACACCCAGCTCTGGGGATTACTTTAGAATGATGAATGGACTCTTCAGCTTCCTGTCCTAAATTCTGGGTAACCCATGGGCCCTTGTCAAGGGGGCCATGTTAGAGGGGCCAGTCTTCTCATAACCTTGGGGTTGTGCTTTGACTTCATTGAGTAGGAAGCTGTTTCCTTCCTTGAGCCTCACATTTCATGAAGGTGTGTCATGGGGTAGAGGAATGGTCCTGAGATGAACCCAGAGCATGACGTCCCATTCAAGACTTCATCCACTGGCTCAGCCAGAGGCTCAGAGTTGTACTCAGTCTCTCCCCCGTGACAAAATGATGGCCATCTTTTCCCAACTTGTAAAAAAAGTAAAAAACAAAGGGAAAAAATTAAACAAGTTAACGGATTGTTTACTTAACTTCATGGTTTTTTGCCTATAAAATTTCTTAAGTTTTGGGCAACTACTGTCATCTGTCTGCTCCTGAGCACTAGCAGCTGGAAGAAAAAAAGGAATATCACCAGTGGAACAAATTGAGACACGTAGTTTATCACATGTGGTTCAATAGCACATTCCTCAATGGACATGTGTGGTCTTGGCCGTAATGCACGCATATAACATCATCCTATTTTACTGCTAGTCAGTGTTCCTGATCTCGGTGGTGGAATTAAACATATACATATATCATGGTGTTTGCAGAGAGCCCCTGACTCCCAGGTGTGTTTCCACCAGTAGGTGTGGAAGCAGCTCTCCACTTCCTCCTCGGCCAGTGAGAGCAGAGGTGCCAGAGGTGATGAGGGCCAGCCAAGCATGTCCACTGTGCACAAGCTTAAGCCATAAATTTTACTCCTCAGGTGGTGTTAGACACATTCCTCTGGGGAGATGGGGTGGAGAATGGGTATATTAAAATATAGACTGGGTTTGCTTGAATAGAAAGGAATTCTTTTGGATGATAAAAACTCTCAGATTTAAAGAATCAACAAATAAGCTAGGAGTCCTCAAAAATTACTACCACCAGCAGCCAATGAAATTCTCTTAGGATAAATCCTCCTGGTTGCTTTACACACATCATGTCTGAGTTAACCAGAGGGTTCATCATGTGTGCGTAGATAGTTTGCCCTTTGGCCAAGAGTGGGCCAGTTAGGGAGCCGGGATAAAAGCTGAGGAGTCTAAGTCCATCATGGGGACTGATCAATATTTATGAATTAATGAAAATCTAAAATGCCCCGTTTGATCCAGACAATTGGCACTTTTGCTCTGGGGCTGGAATGAAAAGGTGGATTCGAGGTAGTCTCTGGGGCATGACAAAGAGGCTTTGAGCTCTACTCAGTCTCTCCCCCAAGACAAAGTGATGACCATCTTTTTCCCAACTTGTAAGAAAAAAAAAAAAAGAAAGAAAGAAAAGGAAAGAAAAAAAATGTTTTTAAAGCAGACACACCCATCTGCTCAGATTGCTGGGTCATCTTCTCTTTGGCTTGGATCTCCAAGTCACCTTCTCAGAGCCTGGCAGAAAGATAGAGAGGCAGTGATTCTTCCAGAAGCCCATGAGAGGGCCTTGCTTTGTCATCTGCCTCCTTTCCTTGAGAATTCCCCCTGGTGATGGACAGGAAACTGGTTGCGAACCCTCTGCAACCCTGGGAAGGATGTCCTTTCCTCTGACTATATGGGTTTGCCCCTCAGACAGAGGGTGGGCAAGTGACCAGACTGGGTAACCCCTTTTGAAATTTCCATTGTAAATGATGAGTCAGCACCAATTTGGTTCAGTGCTGCTTTTGAAGAAGCTCCGTTTTTCATTTGCATAGGAGGTGATGAGATATGACCTAATTCTCCAGCATGTGTAGCACACATGATTAACAGGGGAAACTGTCCCGCCATCCTTTCAAGCTCTCCTGTCTCTGATTTCTGCTCAGGATGTATGGATCTGTGAAGAATGCACAAAGCATAGTGGGTTTTAGGGGATGACAGAACACCAGCCCTTTTCCCATTATTATTTATAGCCAAAGTATGTGTGTTAAGTGTGTTCATCAATTGTGTTGAAAGACGTGGAACATACCATGAGGACCTTCTGTTTGGGTATGAGACCAACTCGTGTACAAGGCATTGTGCTAAAATATCTTACTTTCTTTGGGGTTTAATTCAGATACCTAGGAGGAAAATAAAAGGGGGGAAAGTATTGAACAGTTATTTATTCTGGGTTAAGAGAGTACTGGCCTAGGAGCCTGTCCCCTGGGAGTGTCAGCACTTTCAATTAAATTAAGACAGTATTTAGGTGTTTTCATCATAAAGGACACAATGGTGCACCATTGTGTTGGCCTCTATGAGAGAGAGAGAGATAGAGATAGAGATAGAGAGAGAGAATGAATAACCTGGCTACTTCCCTTTCTACTAGATGCTTCCCTTTCTACTAAAGGCCAAAAAGCAAAGGTCTTTCCATCCCAGGCTTGGTTTGGCATCTTTGGCTTCAAAGTGTGCAATCAGGAGGCAGTTCTGGGCCCATCAGCACCACTGGAAATTCTTAGCTTCACTGCTTTCTCTCCTGCACAGTCTGCCTTTTAACCATACATGGCTGACTGACTAGAACATGTGTTTTCTGCTGAGGTTCGGTGCCGAGTGTGAATAATAGAAATTGCCCTTGTTATGAACACAAGCACTGCACCCAGACAGTGAGGCCCAAGACCTGCTAACCACATTGATTGGCTGTCCCGAGGGCAGAAATGGTTACTTTGCTGGGGTTTGAAGAATAGGTGAGGACTTCAACATAGTTTGATGATAAGTACCAGCAAGAAGATCATTCAGCAGTTAATGGTTGAAGGGTCATGCTTTTGTGTCCAGAGTTAGAAAGGGTTACGGCAGCCCGCCTGGTTCTGACCAACTGGGCAACTTGGTGGAAGGATCGGGCTTTCTGTTCACTTGCTGGGAGAGCCAGGAGATCTACATCAAACGACATCTGTGTCTTCCACACTGTGTAGTAGGTGCCTGTTCCCTTCTTAAATTCTCCTGTCTTCTCTCTTTTTCTGACTGTGCATTGACCCTCTGGTTCTCTTACAATTGCGCCAGCTTAACCCACTTCCTGCCCTCAAAGATCTCCATTGACTTTTCTGTAGACATTTCAGCTCTGACACAACCCATCCAAGAACCAGCATTTAGAAGCCACTGACTTTGGATTACTTCAGAATTTACTTTTATCAGCAAAAAATGAGCATTATCATTTGAGGTCTGTAGAGAGAAAGAGGAAGGAGCTTCCTGTTCCACCCAGCCATGCCATGGCCAAGGCGACACTTCACTTCAAATGCTTGCCTCAGGGACAAGAAGTGGGTCAGGGGCATGCGTCCCCTTTGTGGCCTTGGCCCTGGCAGTGCCGATGTGCGTGCCTTTACTCTGTGTGGACGTGTGTTATTGTACTTAGGCCTAACTGTTCTATTAGGTTATAAAACTCTTGATGGCAGCCTCCTCCTAGACCCAGTTCCTTCTACTTGGTTTCTGCTTAAGTCTATTTGTGCTTGATTACACAGGGATAATATACTTCTGTTCTTGAAATGTTTGCTAGATGGGCATTTCACTGTCAGTTCTTAGAGCCCATGTGAATGGGAAGACCTCCCACATCTCCTTTCCTTTCAGGAGATCAGACCGTAGCATGCTGATGCACAGAGAGAACTTATTAGGGTTTCTGCACTCAGCAAGTGAAACGCATGGCCTAAAAAGCTGTGTGTGAATGCATTCTTAAAAGTTATGTAATTCATATAATGGGAACTTGCAAGCAAATTGTTGGGCCTCCTGACACTGAAGAATATACATTTTCAAGTGCACAAGGATAATGTGGTAGATTGTCACCTAATTCAAAATCTGTGTCATGCTTTGATACTCAGTGACTGAAGGACATGCCATCTTTGGGTGAAGAGCCTTTAGATAAACTCTGAAGTGAGTTGGATGGGAAATGTTGAATTGATGTTCCTAATGATTTTTGCTTTACTTGCAGGAGTTGTACCCTGGTCAAATATCATGGAAATCTTGGAGGAAAAAGACGGGGTCGACACAGAGCTGCTAGTTTATGCGATGACTTTAGTGAACAAGGTTGGTCAATGTTTGTTATGGGTTGAATTGTTTTCCCCCAAAGCTATGTTTAAGTCCTATCCCTGGTACCTGTGGATGTAACCTTACTTGAAAATATAGGGTCTTTGCAAATTTAATCAAGCTAAGATGAGGTCATATGGATGGGCCTTAATCCATTATGACTGCTGTCTTTTTAAGGACAGAAAGAGAAACACGTAGAAGGAAAGATGTACACATGTGCTCATGAAGAAGGCAGCCATATGGAGACAGAGGCAAAGATTTGAGTGAGACATCTCTAAGCCAGGTGATGCCAGGATTTCCAGCAGCCAGTCTAGGGTGAGGCAAGGCAGTACCCTCCCCTAGAGCCCTCAGAGAAGGATCCTGCCCACACCTTGTTGTCAGGCTTCTAGTCTCAAACTATGACAGGATCAATCCCTGTTGTTTCAGCCGCCCAGTTTGTGATAATTAGTTATGGCAGTCCCAGGTAACTAAGACAGTGTGGAAGTTTAAAATATGCCCTCTGACTAAGAGCCACATCCTGTGGACCCCCTCATTGTGGCTGGAACCATGGTCGAGGTGTGCTTCTTCGCAGGAGAAAACCCTTTACACTCACACACGGTGTGTGTGCCCATGTGCTGATGCATACCCGTGTGAAGCCCTGTGAGTGCTTATTGAATTCTGACTGCTGGGGCCAGAGATGAGATTCCTGGGAGTGGGTCCCATCCTTCTTTTATGACGGTGACACCTTTCTGTCATGTCCCTCCCTGGTCACTACCTTGGAGGGCAGTCGGAGTCTTCAGGATTCATTCCCAGAGATGCTGCTCTGGCCAAGGGTCGGTCTCACACTGGCCTGGGACAACCCACTTTTGGGACTGGACTTCCTTCATGGTGGTGGCTCAGTCCTTCATCAATGAGGCTGGGGGCAGGTGGTTATCTTTTGCAGATCGCTATACCCTAGACCAGGTGTAGCCCCACCGTGGGCCTTCAGCCCCTCATCAGCCCCACCGTGGGCCGGCCTGTGTACTGTTCAAGCTGCGGGGTGTAGGCCTACATGGCAAACCCCATATCTCTCCCTGAAATATAACAGGAGAAACATTTTCCCTCATGAACTGGGGACAGGTTAGTAGAAAACAGCATCATTACAAGGAGTAGCTTCTACTAGATATTTGGCTCAGTGGATAGAGCGTCAGCCTGCAGACTGAAAGGTCCCAGGTTTGATTCTGGTCAAGGGCATGAACCTTGGTTGCGGGCACATCCCCAGTAGGAGGTGTGCAGGAGGCGGCGATCGATGTT